TCGAATTAATTTGATGGCCTGCTCCCAGTTGGCTTGTTAGCTCAATTGGTAGAGCGCTGCACTAGTATCGCAGAGGTCAGTGGTTCGAATCCCGTACAGGCCTGATTTTTTTTTTTTTTTTTTTTTTTTTTTTTTTTTTTTTTTTTTTTTTTTTTCAGGTCTGATTTTCACTATTGCTCAAATAGTGCTTTACTGCGAAGGATCGTGCACATATACGTAATCACACTCACATAATTTCAAAAGGTGGTGGCAATAAAACAGGGCACTTATAGTAAGCAGAAGGGGATAATTAGATTCCCTTTCATGTTAATGTCTTTTGCCATCTATGAATGAAAAAAAAAGACACAAAGAGAAAATTGAATTTAAAAAATAAACAAATTTTCAAATGAAGAGGCAAGGATAATAAGTTAAATTGCAAAATTCCTCAGAGATTGTGTTTGATTGTAAGTTCCAATATTTATTCCAGTTTATTTGTAGGCTTCTTCTAAGTCTGTAAGAACACTTTTTTATGAGCTCCTTCTGAAGCAAGGATTTCTTCAGTCTTCCATCCTTAAGATCAGTTCTCACAAAGTTGTAATCTTTAAACCATAATTATAACCTTCTTTTTTTTCTTTTTTTTCTCTTCTTTCTTTTTTTTTTCTTCTTTCTCTTTTTTTTCAGGTATGCCCAAGTTATCCAGCAAGTGTTGTGGTACCTGCCATGATATCAGATGATACTCTGAAAGCATCTGCACAGTTTCGACAGTCAGGAAGGTTTCCTGTTCTTAGCTACTATCACAAACGAAATGGGGTGAGAATATTCATGTAACCACTTCAGTGGGGAGCCTGACTTAGCACTCTCTTGCACTACCTTGTAGTTTATGTCTTAGATTCTGCAGTCCCCTTGTGACAATTTAGTTGCATGCAAGCTTGCAGAATTCAGTTTTGTATATGCTAGAGGGGAGAATGAACAATCACTTTGTGGAAGTTAAAAAAAAAAAGTAATTAAACTCATCCCAGAACCTGATTTTTCTTAACAGCTGCCAGAAGCTTAAAATAAATACATAACTGTTTCGTGATCTTGCATTATTTTTTGTGGGCTACAGTTAATTATTGCCTGATAAACATTTCGTTTGTTACAGAACAGCCTTACTTTCAACAAAACCTTAAACAATATCCTTGCATGATACACAGGTTGTTCTTTTACGATGTGGTCAACCATTAACTGCTATAGCAAGTAAAAGAAGTCGCGAAGATGAGAAATTGGTCAATGCTACGTTAGGTGGAGAATCTAAGGGAGTTATTATTGACACCAGATCATCAGCTGCCGCCATGAACAGTAGAAGCAAAGGTAATTGATAATTATCACAAATATTAGTATAATATCAGAGCTGAGCAAAGAGTTTC